ATTTTTTTCTCAGAATTATGACTTTTTCTCAGATTTTTTAGATCAAGGTCAGAATTACGACTATAACTATATTAGCCTATTTTCTCAGAATTCTGTTTCAAATCTTTAAAATAAAATTCACATGTGGTCCTCTCGTGATTTGGGCACAGTCAGAGTTTGACGTCTATATCTTCTTCCTATATATACATAGTTTTAGTTGAGGAAAGGAAGCTACATATTCACTTTTCTCTCCAAATCTCTTCATAATCATCTCTCGTGCTCTGGCCAACTGCGAGCACATGGAGTTCCTCCAGAGTTACCGAAGCAAAAAGCAGCTCCTCCAAATGTGTCCGGTAATTAGAGGCCGAGAAATATCTCCGCTTCTCATCTACGGACATTACCCGCCTGCCAAAAACAGTCTGCAAACATATCCAGCATTTATTAGAGGGGCTGCTTTGAAAGGAGTGTGTTTTTGTGTATGTGTTTGTGTCTCATGAGGTATTATTTCCCAGTGTCAGAGAGGATTAGCAGCAGGGACTCGATGATCTGCTAAATGTCAGACAGATGCTAACGGTGGCTGCAGAGACAAGGACTGCAGTAAATCCGCAGTTAGCCGCCATGCTAACGTGCACGGATTAAAAATGCCGATTGAAATGTCACACAGTGTGATTCAGCTGTGAGGTTTACCTGGAGGAGAAAGGGAGGATGCTGATAACACACTTCCTGTTGGCAAACAAGGGTGTTTTATTTTTGGTTGTTAGCCTGAAATAAGGTCTGTGAGAGGAGAGTAAAATCTGATGTCTAATGGATGCAGATTTGATGGAAATTCGATATTGATTAAGCCGGTCATCAGCTGTGGAGTGATGGTGTGATTAACCCTTATGTTGTGTGACCCGTTTCAAGTTAAAATTATATAATAACTACGCTCTAGTTTTTTGTATCGGAACAAGGCTTCATGATGTCCTCCACAACAGATATATAAACACTACAAAAACTGATTTTGACAATTTTAGTCTGAAGGTCTCTAAAAAAAAAAGTGTATAATTTGGTGTTGGGGTCTGGGGAGACCCAGCAGCTTGTTGTGGGTGACTCGGGTGTCAAATTTGTCCCAATCAAGATTCATCTTTGACTTTAGACACCCCTCCCCCACCTCCTTCATCCACTGCAACATACCCCTGGTCTCCCCTCCCTCTAGCCCCCCTCCCCCCACGGGAACTCCTTTCTCAAAGAATATGTACACTAACACCTGAACCTGAATACACATGCACGTGTGCAATATGTGGTGTAATGTGTTTTGGGGCCATAACATTAAATTACAACAGGATTATACGGTTATGAATGCATAATAAGTTCAAACAATATTGGATGATAGTCATTTTTTTTTGTCTTTTGGACTGAAATAAATCATGGGTCAAAATTGACCCGCGATCACCATGAAGGGTAACAGCTTTCGAACACAACACAAGGGCTAAGTGAGCATCTGAGAGCCAGGAGGACTCAAACAGCATGCTAATGAGTTAGCTTCAGAAGAGACATGTGTACCAAGTCATTCTTTACTTTATTTATTTGCTGTTCTGATAAAAGGTCTGTGGTTAACACGAGCTGAAGAGATTTTTATCAAATACGTAATAAATACCCCACGAGTGAATTTAAAAACGGAGGTTGCTAACAATTGTTTAAAGTGGACCTATCATGCTATATTATAATAATATAGTGTAGGACCATACCTATATAAGGCATATTTATACTTTTTTTTTTTCAAAATACCAAACAGATCATGCATTTTAGCCATGCCTCATTTCGCTCAATTTGACATTTTTTAGCTCTGTTTTAGCTCTGGGCTGATTCAGTGAGAACAGCACCACCTACAGGCCTGGCATATGTACTACAGCGTCTCCAGCGCTTTCGAACGGCAATGGCCGTGGCTGTCTCCTCCTGATTGGTGGAGTTGGCCCAATAGCCGTAGCGCCACCGTCCTGACGTCAGGACAGTGTTCAAATCTGGATCAGTTTTTATCAGATCCGTTGCAGCCCCTTTTTTTAGAGATTTGGGTATGGAGGAAAATAGAGAGGGTTGTGTTTTCTGACACTTGGTGAGTTCCCTGGAACACCGGGGACACATATTCATGTAGAAAAGACGTACACAAGTGCATTTTGCATGATAGGTCCCCTTTAAATGAGGCGTGCTGTAGTTCCTTTATAGCCCAACGTTAGCTTAGAGTGTTAGCAATCCGTTTGTTTTTACCTTTACATTTAATTATGTCACATAATTCTCTGGATATTGTGTTTGTATTGTTCTGATTTAATACGCTTTAATTAACATCTTCTGACACATTGATGAACCGGTGGAGTGTGTTTGTGTGTGTGTGTGTGTGTGTGTGTGTGTGTGTGTGTGTGTGTGTGTGTGTGTGTGTGTGTGTGTGTGTGTGTGTGGTGTGTGTGTGTGTGTGTGTGGTGTGTGTGTGTGTGTGTGTGTGTGTGCGTGGCCTAGCTTTACTATCCTTGTGGGGACCTAAATCTGTTTACACAGTCACGTGTGGGGACTCGCCTCCCTTATGGGGACATAATGGAGGACCCGTGAGGGGAATCATTAATTTTAGGGTGAAGACTTGGTTAGGGTTAGGGTAAGGGTAACGGTTAGGGTAAGGTTCAGGGTAAGGGTTACGGGTTAGGCATGTGTTGGTTATGGTTAAGGTTAGGATAAGTCTCCAGGAAATGCATGGAAGTCAATGTAATGTCCCCTGAAGTGATGTATGCATGGTATGTGTGTGTGTGTTTCCTTTGACATATTACGTGTTAATGTCCATGTCCGCCTGCAGCTGCTGTGATATGAGCTCAACACTGAACTTCTGTATAAAAGCTGCTTCATGATTAAAATGGTTGTGCATTTCAAGTTCAAAGTCTCTTATCCTCTAAAAAACATTGATAACATTCAGTATTACAAAGAATCGAAACCAATAACTTAAGAAGAGGCCTACATTGGATCTGGACATCCGTAATGAGTTATGAAGAGATGTTGTATTTCAGTGTTGGTCCCTGAAGGCAGCATCTCCGTAGTCCAATGGGATTTCTCCATGTGATTTTTGATTATTGTAGGGAATAATGTCTTAGTAACTGAATATATATCATGTTTATTTTCCCTCTGGGTGCCGTCAGTGGATCAGAAAGTCATTTGAAGTGACAATGTGTGGTGACAGCAGTAAAAAAATAAACAAGATAAAAGGTGTCACCTTCTGACAGTTCTGATCATCGGGAAGCTTTTAAGAGATTTCCTTCACAGAGGAATTTATCTTCTGCACGCTGTCAACATCCATCATGTTTTCACTTCCTTTCAGTTCCTGTTTGATGCCAGAAAACGTCTTCTCTGAGGCAGCGAATATCAACTGAGACACGGAAAGAGCTCCGAAACATCACTTATAGGAGACGTATTATGTTTTATTTCTACAAATTAGGAATTTCTGCAGAGATAATACCATTAAAGAGTAGTGTCTCTACTTTAAAGAGTCCTCTCCTGCTGATGTTCAGGTGTATATCAGTATGTAGTGTCTCTACTTTAAAGAGTCCTCTCCTGCTGATGTTCAGGTGTATATCAGTATGTAGTGTCTCTACTTTTAAAGAGTCCTCTCCTGCTGATGTTCAGGTGTATATCAGTATGTAGTGTCTCTACTTTTAAAGAGTCCCTCTCCTGCTGATGTTCAGGTGTATATCAGTATGTAGTGTCTCTACTTTAAAGAGTCCTCTCCTGCTGATGTTCAGGTGTATATCAGTATGTAGTGTCTCTACTTTAAAGAGTCCTCTCCTGCTGATGTTCAGGTGTATATCAGTATGTAGTGTCTCTACTTTAAAGAGTCCTCTCCTGCTGATGTTCAGGGTATATCAGTATGTAGTGTCTCTACTTTAAAGAGTCCTCTCCTGCTGATGTTCAGGTGTATATCAGTTATGTAGTGTTCTCTACTTTAAAGAGTCCTCTCCTGCTGATGTTCAGGTGTATATCAGTATGTAGTGTCTCTACTTTTAAAGAGTCCTCTCATGCTGATGTTCAGGTGTATATCAGTATATAGTGTCTCTACTTTTAAAGAGTCCTCTCCTGCTGATGTTCAGGTGTATATCAGTATCGTAGTGTCTCTACTTTAAAGAGTCCTCTCCTGCTGATGTTCAGGTGTATATCAGTATGTAGTGTCTCTACTTAAAGAGTCCTCTCCTGCTGATGTTCAGGTGTATATCAGTATGTAGTGTCTCTACTTTAAAGAGTCCTCTCCTGCTGATGTTCAGGTGTATATCAGTATGTAGTGTCTCTACTTTAAAGAGTCCTCTCCTGCTGATGTTCAGGTGTATATCAGTATGTAGTGTCTCTACTTTAAAGAGTCCTCTCATGCTGATGTTCAGGTGTATATCAGTATGTAGTGTCTCTACTTTAAAGAGTCCTCTCCTGCTGATGTTCAGGTGTATATCAGTATGTAGTGTCTCTACTTTAAAGAGTCCTCTCCTGCTGATGTTCAGGTGTATATCAGTATGTAGTGTCTCTACTTTAAAGAGTCCTCTCCTGCTGATGTTCAGGTGTATATCAGTACGTAGTGTCTCTACTTTAAAGAGTCCTCTCCTGCTGATGTTCAGGTGTATATCAGTATGTAGTGTCTCTACTTTAAAGAGTCCTCTCCTGCTGATGTTCAGGTGTATATCAGTATGTAGTGTCTCTACTTTAAAGAGTCCTCTCCTGCTGATGTTCAGGTCTATAAATGTAATATAATCTCCACTCTCACAACTAACCCTGGAACTGAAATAAAATCGATGCTGCTGCTGTAAGCTTTTTAACAATTTCACTTTGAAGGCAGTTTCCAGGAAGAGCCATATGGTCAAGTGTGTGTGTGTGTGTGTGTTGTGTGTGTGTGTGTGTGTGTGTGTGTGCGTGTGTGTGTGTGTGTGTGTGTGTGTGTGTGTGCGTGTGTGTGTGTGTGTGTGTGTGTGTGTGTTGTGTGTGTGTGTGTTTCTCCTCCAGCTGAACACTTTTCTCTTGTTTTTCAGGGGAAGAGTTTTACGAGACATCTCCCTACGAGCCGATCCATTTTTCAGAAGAATTCAGACATGCCTCCATCATCTCAGGTAACAAACGTGTGTGTGTGTGTGTGTGTGTGTGTGTGGTGTGTGTCTGTGTGTGTGTGTGTGTGTGTGTGTGTGTGTGTGTGTGTGTGTGTGTGTGTGTGTGTGTGTGTGTGTGTGTGTGTGTGTGTGTGTGTGTGTGTGTGTGTGTGTGTGTGTGTGTGTGTCTGTGTGTGTGTGTGTGTGTGTGTGTGTGTGTGTGTGTGTGTGTGTGTGTCTGTCTGTGTGTGTGTGTGTGTGTGTGTGTGTGTGGGGGGGGGGAACTGAAGCGGTCCTTTCACAAAAAGCCTGTTTTCAGATTTCTCATGTGCTGCCTCAACACGTTTCTCATTATTTGAAGGTCAGAGAGATAACCTTTTGTTTATTTACCATATTAGTGCAGAATCCGTTTTAAACACGATGGCTTTTCCACTGTTTTTTATACGGAGGCCGACAGGTACAAACACTCAGGAGAAACGTGCTGCAGCTTCAGAAAGGATGCAGATATAAAACCCCAAATGTTGCTCATGAAGAAACATCTTCAGCAACTGGGAGACCAGGGGACACTAAAGAGTGACGCACACAGCTGGGAGACCAGGGGACACTAAAGAGTGACGCACACAGCTGGGAGACCAGGGGACACTAAAGAGTGACGCACACAGCTGGGAGACCAGGGGACACTAAAGAGTGACGCACACAGCTGGGAGACCAGGGGACACTAAAGAGTGACGCACACAGCTGGGAGACCAGGGGACACTAAAGAGTGACGCACACAGCTGGAGACCAGGGGACACTAAAGAGTGACGCACACAGCTGGGAGACCAGGGGACACTAAAGTAGTGACGCACACAGCTGGGAGACCAGGGGACACTAAAGAGTGACGCACACAGCTGGGAGAACCGGGGACACTAAGAGTGACGCACACAGCTGGGACCAGGACCATGGGGACACTAAAGAGTGACGCACAGCTGGAGACCAGGGGACACTAAAGAGTGACGCACACAGCTGGGAGACCAGGGGACACTAAAGAGTGACGCACACAGCTGGGAGACCAGGGGACACTAAGAGTGACGCAACAGCTGGGAGACCAGGGGACACTAAAGAGTGACGCACACAGGGAGACCAGGGGACACTAAAGAGTGACGCACACAGCTGGGAGACCAGGGGACACTAAAGAGTGACGCACACAGCTGGGAGACCAGGGGACACTAAGAGTGACGCACACAGCTGGGAGACCAGGGGACACTAAAGAGTGACGCACACAGCTGGAGACCAGGGGACACTAAAGAGTGACGCAACAGCTGGGAGACCAGGGGACACTAAAGAGTGACGCACACAGCTGGGAGACCAGGGGACACTAAAGAGTGACGCACACAGCTGGGAGACCAGGGGACACTAAAGAGTGACGCACACAGCTGGAGACCAGGGGACACTAAAGAGTGACGCACACAGCTGGAGACCAGGGGACACTAAAGAGTGACGCACACAGCTGGGAGACCGGGGACACTAAAGAGTGACGCACACAGCGGGAGACCAGGGGACACTAAAGAGTGATGCACACAGCTGGAGACCAGGGGACACTAAAGAGTGACGCACACAGCTGGGAGACCAGGGGACACTAAAGAGTGACGCACACAGCTGGGAGACCAGGGGACACTAAAGAGTGACGCACACAGCTGGGAGACCAGGGGACACTAAAGAGTGACGCACACAGCTGGGAGACCAGGGGACACTAAAGAGTGACGCACACAGCTGGGAGACCAGGGGACATAAAGAGTGACGCACACAGCTGGGAGACCAGGGGACACTAAAGAGTGACGCACACAGCTGGAGACCAGGGGACACTAAAGAGTGACGCACACAGCTGGGAGACCAGGGGACACTAAAGAGTGACGCACACAGCTGGGGAGACCAGGGGACACTAAAGAGTGATGCACACAGCTGGAGACCAGGGGACACTAAAGAGTGACGCACACAGCTGGGAGACCAGGGGACACTAAAGAGTGACGCACACAGCTGGGAGACCAGGGAACACTAAAGAGTGACGCACACAGCTGGGAGACCAGGGGACACTAAAGAGTGACGCACACAGCTGGGAGACCAGGGGACACTAAAGAGTGACGCACACCTTCAGACAAATGGAGAACGAAAAATAATTGGAGGAATTCAACAACTTCTAAATTTCATTTTCTTTCAGATTCTGGCCTTTGACTGCCTCAACATGTTTTCCATTTCACTGGCTGCCTCACCATCACTCCATCAGCAGCTTGTGATTGGCACGCTGCATAACAACACACACACACACACACACACACCACACACACACACACACACACCACACACACACACACACACGCACACACCACACACCACACACACTCACCACACACACACAACACACACTCACACACTCACACACACACACACACACACACACACACACTCACCACACCACACAACACACACACACTCACACACACACACACACACACTCACACATTTCACTCTGTTTCACCGAGTGTGTTTCGGCCTCCACAAACGTTCTTCTGAGGAGTGTTTAAATGTCACAAGCCCCCGAGCAATACAATCGTCATTTAGGCTTTACTATGAGTGTGTGTGTGTGGTGTGTGTGTGTGTGTGTGTGTGTGTGTGTGTGTGTGTGTGTGTGTGGCCAAACAGCTGTGAAATAGACTCGCAGCTCTGTAAATTGGGTTCTGCTCTCTCAGATTAACACAAACACGGTCCAAGCAGGGGCGCCGCAACCAATGTGACTTCAAAAGCACACTCTATATCCACACACACACACACACACACACACACACACACACACACACACACACAGAGAATGCAGTGGTGCAGGTGGTGTGAAACATCTAATTTATTTCCAACAGGCGACATGTAACACCTGCTATAAACACACACACACACACACACACACACACACACACACACACTAGCAGAAATCCTGCAGAAACGTTGTGTTTGTTGCATGTTTTTAAAGCTGTTTGTGTTGAGTCTCTGAAAATCACCTGTCCACTGAAAGCATGAAGATTCACAGCGAGAGTCGGCGAATGCTCAAAGCAGATAAAGAAGGGAGAGAGGGGGGAGAGGGGGAGAGGGGGAGATGGGGGAGGGGGAGAGGGGGAGAGGGGGAGAGGGGGAGATAAGAGGATAATACAGAAGTGTGTTAAATAGCAGCGGCAGAAGAAAGAGCGCCGGGACATTAAAGTAAGTTTCAGACAAGACTGTCACAAATTGATTAGAGGGAAAGACTCAGCGTGACTGTGTGTGTGTGGTGTGTTGCTGTGTGTGTGTTGGTGTGTGTGTGTGTGTGGTGTGTGTGTGTGTGTGTGTGGTGTGTGTGTGTGGTATGTTTTACAAAGTGAGTTCCATAAGAAGTGAACTGTCTTCAGACTTTAAAATCGCAGCAGTGAGAATATTTGAAGGGCTGAACAATGTGTGTTAGCAGATAATAAGTACTATAAAGTTAGTGCAGGGATGTTGTATTTCTGTGTTGGTCCCTGAACGCATCATCTCCCTCATCCTATGGGACTCCTCCATGTGTTTTTGGATTATTAGAGTAAAATAATCGGTGTCAGACAAATTAGATTTACACGTTTAGTTCAGCAGGAAAATCCACATATTAACACCACTTCAGGATTTCTGAAGTCTTTAGCCCAACATTAGCCACCTTTAGCTTAGCGGTGGTGACGTGAAGTCATGTGACCGTGCTGTAGTTCCTTTATAGCCCAACATTAGCCACCTTTAGCTTAGCGGTGGTTGACATGAAGTCATGTGACCGTGCTGTAGTTCCTTTATAGCCCAACATTAGCCACCTTTAGCTTAGCGGTGGTGACATGAAGTCATGTGACCGTGCTGTAGTTCCTTTATAGCCCAACATTAGCCACCTTTAGCTTAGCGGTGGTGACATGAAGTCATGTGACCGTGCTGTAGTTCCTTTATAGCCCAACATTAGCCACCTTTAGCTTAGCGATGGTGATGTGAAGTCATGTGACCGTGCTGTAGTTCCTTTATAGCCCAACATTAGCCTCCTTTAGCTTAGCGGTGGTGATGTGAAGTCATGTGACCGTGCTGTAGTTCCTGTATAGCCCAACATTAGCCACCTTTAGCTTAGCGGTGGTGACATGAAGTCATGTGACCGTGCTGTAGTTCCTTTATAGCCCAACATTAGCCACCTTTAGCTTAGCGATGGTGATGTGAAGTCATGTGACCGTGCTTTAGTTCCTTTATAGCCCAACATTAGCCTCCTTTAGCTTAGCGGTGGTGATGTGAAGTCATGTGACCGTGCTGTAGTTACTTTATAGCCCAACATTAGCCTCCTTTAGCTTAGCGGTGGTGACGTGAAGTCATGTGACCGTGCTGTAGTTCCTTTACAGCCCAAACATTAGCCTCCTTTAGCTTAGAGGTGGTGATGTGAAGTCATGTGACGTGCTGTAGTTCCTTTATAGCCCAACATTAGCCTCCTTTAGCTTAGCGGTGGTGACGTGAAGTCATGTGACCGTGCTGTAGTTCCTTTATAGCCCAACATTAGCCTCCTTTAGCTTAGCGGTGGTGACGTGAAGTCATGTGACCGTGCTGTAGTTCCTTTATAGCCCAACATTAGCCTCCTTTAGCTTAGCGGTGGTGATGTGAAGTCATGTGACCGTGCTGTAGTTCCTTTGAAGCCCAACATTAGCCTCCTTTAGCTTAGCGGTGGTGACGTGAAGTCATGTGACCGTGCTGTAGTTCCTTTATAGCCCAACATTAGCCTCCTTTAGCTTAGCGGTGGTGATGTGAAGTCATGTGACCATGCTGTAGTTCCTTTGAAGCCCAACATTAGCCTCCTTTAGCTTAGCGGTGGTGATGTGAAGTCATGTGACCGTGCTGTAGTTACTTTATAGCCCAACATAAGCCACCTTTAGCTTAGCGGTGGTGACGTGAAGTCATGTGACCGTGCTGTAGTTCCTTTAAAGCCCAACATTAGCCTCCTTTAGCTTAGCGGTGGTGATGTGAAGTCATGTGAC